AAAAAAAAAAAAAAAAAAAAAAAAAAAAAAAAAAAAAAAAAAATGTTGTAAGAGCAAACCTTGGCTCTGTCCCAGAGAACAGCATCCGAGAGCTGCAAGGATGACTCCCCCCGTGGGAAGCCCCAGAGGAGAAGCTCCTCTATGCCTGGCAAGGACCAAATTGACAGAAATCTGCAGCTTCGGCTGTTTCTCCTGGGGTGACACTGTGTGTGCTCTTGGTAGCTCTCCCCCCCACACTCTGTAAGGGGTACAGGAGTGGCACAATAGAAATCTCTTAATAATCCTGGGGTGGGTTTATTAAAAATCTGTGACGGGATTGACATGATGATTCCCGAAGCAACTCAAAAGCCAGGAAAGTTTTAAGAAAAGGCACGCTGAGAGGTCACACGGTCTCTTGAAGCGTGTAACACGTCTCAGAGAAGCACAGTATCCTCTGGCTCGGAAAACAGCCCTTCCTAGAACGGATCAGAGAAGTTAGTGAGTCACATAAGCATGAGGGCATTAGTTCAGGAACAAGAAACTTATCCGTGTAGGTACCAGAGCCTCAGGCAGTCAGAAAACAGGAGGGGTTGGCTAAGAGTCAGCCAGCTCTTGTGCCAACAAATTACAGCTTCTTATCTTGGCTGTGGTTGTACAGACAGAAACAGAGACATTGTCAGAGGACATTCAGATAAAAACTTGTGAAGTGTGTTACAGAGGCAGCCGGCTAGGTGTTTAAGATGCAGTGTGCTAACCACAAGGACTACAGAGATGTGCTTAACTCTTAGGCCATAGGGTGTCTACATAAGGGAAATGTCTACATAAGGGAAATAAAAGAGAAGGAAACTTGTGAAAGGAAAAAAAAAACTTTCAGAGAATCATTGTCTAGCTTCTTGGAACATAGCTGAGGAAATAAAACTGAAATCGAAAGCTTTGTGACTTTGAAATGAAATAAATAAATAAGAAGTTATTCGGGGCCATCTCCTTAACAGCAAGCTGGTGGTCATTTCCTTCGTTAGGCAGACTCCAAAGCTTTGTCCCCAGGGCCCCTGACTCCCTGAACTCATCAGAGCCAGACTCCAGCAAAGAAGGAAACAAACTGAAGCCATTTCGAATAAAACTTCCATTTTGAATAGGAGTCAAATATAGCTCCCAAGACCTCCGTGGGTAAGTGACATCGGGGCTGGCAAGTTGAGACATGATTGCTGGGTATTGTCACCCCACCACAGTTGAGTAACCCAACCAATGGGAACAGGAGAAGTGTACCACAAAGGCAAGACATGTTCCTATGGACATGTTCCTATCCCTAAGTCCTGATTGGTGGGTTAACTTGGCACAGACATTTGTGGCTTTGGAGCTTATAAACACTGCAACATTCTGGCTTGTAGTCTCAGTGCAGCTCCCAAGTCTGTTCTAGGGCCCCGAACGATCCGTCAGCAGCGGCCTGAGCACAATACATATTTGTCATCTGATTAAATACTTACTAAGATGAACGTTCTCAGATGCAGTCAGCCCCCGAGTCTGTGCTGTTGTCCCTGACTGGTCAGCTTTTGCTGCCTAATTCAAACAAAGATCTTGCTGTGCTGGACTCTTGGGCCCCTGCTTGGATTTTTGGACCCTAACATTCAATGCTTTGGCCCAGAACCAAGTGCCAAATTTGAGCCTCAAACCTAATTAGCAGGACCTAGGACTGTTTTTTGTTTTTTGTTTTTTGTTTTTTTTTTTTCAGTCATCTGGACCTCCAAAGGTAAGCCTGTGTTCTGGTTAACGGTTGGAACCAATCTGGGACTCAAGAAAGGAGAAACTGGACGCAGCATTGGTCCTAGGGTCAGAGTACCTAGGAGGAGACATCCTGCCCCCTCACTGGTTGCCGTTTGGGGGAACACCTGGTTCTGGTTCTGGTTCTGGGCATGCTGGTCTGTACATGTCTGTCAGTTCCTGTCTGTAGTTTCGTTTAGTTTGATTGTTGCTCTGTGTTTCCTGTTTGGAAAAATGGGCCAAACTTCATCTGCTGACTGTTCACCCCTTGACTGAGTCTTAACCCATCTCAAGGATTTTCAGGAAAAAAAGGGGCTGAATAGGGACAACAAAAACCTGATAAACCAGGGCACCCGCAGCTAGGAGCCCAGCACTGCTGGTGAAGGCCCCGCCTCCTGCTCGCCTGACAGCAAAGCCTGACAGCCTGATCTGTGGCTCTTAAAGGGGCACCAGCAGCTCCTCAGCTTTCTCGGGTAAGGAAGCTGGCAGCTATTCCTGCTCCAGAACCTCTGTGCCCCCGGGAGTGGGACACAGCAGGTAGCAAGGTGCTCCTCTCTTGAAATGACAGCCGGGAGAAGTAAGGAAAGTTTTGTCGGTCAGTTTTGAATATATGAATGTGTGTGGCCACGGCATGGCTGTTTCTGACTGGTCTTAAATGTATGAGTTTACTATGTTCTAGATGTCTTGGCTATAGATCATTGACTTTTAAGTTACTGGGTATGGTTAAAAAATCTGTAACATCTGTAACAAAAAGTTGACTTAAAACTAATAACTCAGCACTGGAGCCATTCTGGGCCTCAACGCATGTCATGAGCCAGCCGAGGAAACAGGTCTCCAAAGATACTTTTAAGCTGAGATAAGGTTTTCATATAATTTCTAACCTGTCTTAAAAACCAGTGGCTTTTGTTTTGTTTTGTTTTAAGATTTAAGACTGCACCTCCATGCATTCACAGACAAGAACTTTTCTTGCTGGCAGGCAAATTTTGTAACATAAATGTAACACACTTGGAATCGATTTGAAAACACTAAATTGTTTACCCTGTTAAAACTTGATTTTGCCTTCTAAAAATTATGGTTGTGCTCTGTGCCTTCATTGTATAAAAAAAATCACGTTATTTTGATACTTCAAAAAACACAGGATTGAGAGATTTTAAACTTCAAAGAAAGCTTAGAGTTTTAAAAAAAATTAAAAACTGGATACTTTAAAACAGCTTTTAAAATGTTTTAATTTATAAAGCTATGAAACATTTTAAAATTTATCAGATATTTTGTTGTACTCTCTTTATTAATACATGATCTTTATGAATAGATAAATAAGAGTTTAAAAATTAGGATCACAACTAAACATCAGGGACTGAAAAATTCCTATATTACAATGCAATAGAATAGAGGCCTTAGGCAGTCTGACAAAGAACTTGAATATTAAAGGATTACAGCACTAAAAAATTGAGAATCAGCGGCTTAAAAATTTGTCTCTCCCTACCTAGGGTTTATTCAGGCTAACAGAGACTGATTTAAAAATATATGTCACCCGGCATGGTGGTGCACATCTCTAATCCCAGCACTCAGGAAGGCAGAGGCAGGCAAATTGATGTGAGTTCAAGGACAGCCTGGTGTACAAAGTGAGTCCAGAACAGCCAAGGCTTACACAGAAAAACCCTGTCTCAGAAAAACAAACAAACAAACAAACAAACAAATAAACAGTTTTTAGATGTAAACTTTTCAGTAAAAGAACATGTTTTACAATGACTGTTATCAATAATAACTACTTATGTCTCTGATAAACTAATTAAACTTTTAAAAAAGAGGTTCAAAGTCCACTCAAATTTCAAGGATATAAGAACTTAAATAAGGGCTGGAGAAATGGCTCAGAGGTTAAGAGCTGTTTTTGCAAAGGTCCTGAGTTCAATTCCCAGCAACCACATAGTGGCGTATAGCCATCTATAATGAGATCTGGTACCCTTTTCTGGCCTGCAGGCATACATGCAGGCAGAATATTATAAATAATAATAAGTAAATAAATCTTTTTTAAAAAACAACTTAAATGAGTTCTAAGGATCTCAAAAATAATTTAAAATATATAGAGATAAGGAATGTTTCAGAGTTCTTTCCCTGTCCGTGCTGTCATTTCCCTGAGATTTTGGAAGTTCAAGATTTGATGCACTGACAGCTTATGTCTCATTCACAAGCTCAGGATTTTATGTATTCTTTGATTGTCTTCTAGATATAACTAAAAGATGCTTTTATCGGGCTAAAACGTCTCTGTTCAACCTATACACCTTGTTCTTTGAACAACAACTGAGAGACCAAAGAATTAAAAACTAGGTTTTTGGGGTACTGAGCTAAAACGTTTAAAACATATCAGGCAGGTTGACCTTGCTGCTTCTAGGCACATCCAGCCAGCTGCAGGGAGGGAGGAGATGACCCTGCTGCTCATTAGAGGTACTCTTGCCAAGTAATCAGCCTGGATGGCCTTGCTCCTGAAGATAGCACAGATTAACAGACTAATAGATAGCTAACCGTCCCCCCCCCCCCCCCCCCCCCCCCCCAAAAAAAAAAAAAAAAAACACAAAAAAACAAACAACCCCCCCCCCCCCCCCCCCCACACACACACACGAGAGAGAACAAAGAAAGCCAGAACCATTCAGGATTCTGGCACTTTCCCACTGCAAATAGTTTTGAAATGTAGCATCCCCTTTTCCTATATTAACCAACAGAAGTTTGCCAGGCTAGAATCCCCTGCTTTGGACATGCTGGGAGGGACTGGGACCTATAAATCACCCGCACTCCGGAGCTGGGGCTCTCTGCTGGATACCAATGCCTTGGTGTCTGTCAGAGTCCAGTTTGAGCTTCGAATAAAGATTCTCATGTGCTTTGCAATGGACTCCACTCCCTGGTGGTCTTTCGGGGGGGGGGTAGGGGGTCCTCACAAATTGGGCATAACACAACAAAAAACGTTCATGCCTTTTAAACTCAAAACTATAGTTTTTGTTGGACTCAAAGGCATGAATCTACTCCGATTGTTTTCCAGACACCTGTCAACTATTTTCTACAGCACGACTTTCAGTACAATAGCAATGCTAATATATCACCTTTATAAACTAAAAATACATGGAAGCTTCAGGGAATCAAAGAAGTCAGAAGTGTCTACCTGTCACGGGTCAACAAACACCAGATACGTACAGCCTGAGTTTCTGCATCTGTCCATTCTTGAAACTGGGATTTTCCTCTGATCTTGCTATTCCTCCTTTCCCCAATTACCAGAAAATTTTAATTCCTGTCCCTAGGCTATATTTGTCTCAGCAGATTTCCTCTTGGCCGACACCATCCAGGGAGCACCTAAGAGCTACAACTTGCTGAGCTCTTGACTTGCTGAAAGCTGATGGAAACTAATCCAGCTGATATAATTCTTCTCTGTCCCTGCAGCTGGATCAGCTAACCAGATGCTTCTAAAAAATACCTTATCACCCAGCCTTTGGCTAGCAATCTCAGCCTCCCTGGGTCCTGACAACTCATGCCCCAATTTCAGCTGGAAATAGTCACAGAAGAGAGCACATCTTCCCTGCCCCCTTGACATTCTGAAATGCTAAGTCAAAAGTAAATTCCCTTTGAGGAAAGCTTGTTGTTTTTATACCTCTGAGATAGCCCAAGATACCCTAGCCCAAATAAAACAAAACCTAAGGATAGGAACCAGGAAGCCAGGGTGGTAACTGGTTCCAGAATCGATTTGATTGGTCCCCTTGGCTAGCCACCTGACTCATCACTAACAGGACCACTGGTTCTCCTTTAACTCCTGCTCCTCATAGAACCTTGAATTCTCAACTCAGTTAAACTCCTGGTCCTAAGGACCCAATACAATCCTTTATGCTCTGAAACAGATAATCAAGGATCAGAATAATGTACAAAGACAAGGGGGGAATGTAAGAAGGAACCAAACTGAAGCCGTTTTGAATAAAACTTCCATTTTAAATAGGCATCAAATAAAGCTTAAGCTCCCAGGACCTCCCTAGGTAACTGGCACCCTGGTTGGCAAGTTGAGACGTGAATGCTGGGTATTGTCACCCCAACACAGTTGAATAACCCAACCAATGGGAACAGGATGAGTGCCTAAGACAAAGACTTGTGCCTAAGAAAGTCCCCTGTCCCTAAATCCTGAATGGTGGGATAACCTGGCACAGATCTTTGTGGTTTGGGAGTTTAAAAGCACTGCAACATTCTGGGTTTTGGTCGAAGTTCAGCCCCCAAGTCTGTTCCAGGACTCTGAACGATCAGTAGAGGCCTGAGTAAAATAAATTTTTGTCGTCTGCTTAAATACTTACTAAGATGAACATTTGAAGACCCAGTCAGCTTCCAAGTCTGTTTGGTTATCTCTGACTGGTCAGTTTTTGCTGCCTAATTCAACTGGACTCTTGTGACTGCTTGGGCTGTTTTGGATTTTCAGACTCTAACAATGGTTCTTTCCTTTTCCCAGTACTGCAGTTGTTTGATTTGTTCTGATCCTGGATTCTGCATATTAACTCTGAGGACATCATGAGCCAGGTATGGCAGTATTTTTTACCTCCAGCCCCTGTAATACCAGCATTTGGGAAGTAGAGGCAAGAGGTTCCGGTTTCCAGGGCAGCCTGAAGTATATGAGACTGTCTGATACAACAAACAGACAATGTGGACTGGCAAGATGCTCAGTGGGCAAGAGGTGCTTGCTACTGAGCCAAGTGACCTGAGTTTAGTTTCCAGAATCCAATGGTGGGAGAAGAGAACTCACTCCAGAAAGGTGTCTCGGACCTTCTCATGGGCCCCGTGGATGTGCATACCTGTGGATTCTCTCCTTCCACCAGCTGGGCTCTTGGAATAGAACTCAGATCCTTAGACTTGGTGGCAAGCGCTCATCCACCTTGCTGGTCATATTTTTCAATTTTAATTTAAAAAAATTTTATTTATTACTTATTTTATGTTATGTGTATTTGTGCACTTGAGTTTGTGTACCACATGTGTGCAGGAGCCTGCAGAGGCCAGATCCCCCTAGAACTGGAGTCATAGACAGTTGTAAGCCCTCATGTGGGTGATGGGAACTGAACCTGGGTCCTCTGCTAGAGGAGCAAGCACTCTTAGCCCCTGAACTGTTTCTCCAGCCCCTGTTTTTATTTTTAAGTAAGGAATGGGGCATAAATAATCGAAACACTAGTGACTGCACAAGAGTTTTCTTCTTGTTTTATTTATTATGTTTTGAGACAGGGTCTCATGTAGCCCAGGCTGACCTCACAGTCACCAGGAGGCCCAAGGAAGCCCTTGGCCCCTCCTGCCTCCATGCCCCATTGCTGGAATTACACGCATATACCACCATGCCTGCCTAAACCTTAATTTCCTCATCATTTTCTTCTCCACTTAAAAAACAGTATTGAACACTTCCTCTATCATGAAACACACAGGAATGCTTTGTCTATGAGCAGAGAAATTGGACTGTGTGTCTGTAAAGATCTGACTTTGCTGTCTTTGTCAGTGTTCCTGTTCTGTTGATTTTATCATTATTTTGGGGGGTTTTTTTGGGGGGGGGAGGAGGAGGAGAAAGAAATGGTTTGGAGTATTACACGAGATAGTATTCTCTCCTTGACTCCTTTGGCCAGGCTTCTCTGAGACCCGGCCATCACGCCACAGTCACTGTCGCTGTTACTGTGACTCATCACAGTTACTCCCACTGGACCAGAGCAGCGATGAATTGCTCAGCTTTCATGTCAGGGCGCTGGGCAGGAACCTGATGGCAGTATCTAGCAGAATTGGGATGCTGCGTCTGATCCTGGCAAACATTGTACTGGGTCTAGCCAGATTGCCCCACTCTCCTCATCTGACTTTCCAGATGTTTCTGCAACTCCTCATTCCCTCCTAGACTGCAGGTGATGTTGTCACAGGCCCCTAGACCTTAGCACAACTGACTCCATTTAGGCCAGAAAACTCAGCACACAGGTAGCTCTACCTGCCAAAACGAATACAAAGTCCATAGTTCTGGGAAAGCCCCTAAGTGTACTAACCTTGCTTTTTGGCTTCTGTGATTCTGCTTCTGGCTAACTGTTCTTGTTAAGTGAAGTGTGTCAACCCAGAACATGATCTAGTGCTTAAAAGCTCACCCCTTCAAGAAAAGCTTGGGCCTACACTGGGATCCTGAACACCCAGTATTGTTGCCAGCTGGCTGATAAACTCTTTCTATTGGCTTAGACTCATGTCTGAGCTGTCTTCTCTGATGCATGTCCCAAAATGCCTTGCTTCAGGGAGGCTCCTGTTTAGGACCTGGCTTGCAGTTCAGTAATCTAGAGTAACTATAAAACCCTGGGTTCAGTTCCTGCACCCACATCTTATCTTTGTAATTTTACCACACCCCGACTCCTCCATCGCTCTGCTCCTTGGTATTTTTATGTGCCCACACCCGCTTTTCCTTGCATTTGCAATTACACAGAGCTTTGTTTTAATTTTTAAGTCATTTAAGTGTGTGAGCACACGTGTGTGGGACGTCAGAGGACAACTTTCAAGGTCAGTCTCCTTCCAGCAGGTGGGTCTTGGGGATGGAAGTCATGTCATCCGCTGTGGCCCACACTGCCTTTACCATGTTGATGGCCCTGGCTTTGTTTTTGAAACAGGGTTTCTGTATCCCAAGCTGGCCTTGAGGTTGCTATTAATATATAGCTTCAGATGATCTTGAATTTAGGATTCTTTTTCCCTCCACCTGCCATGGACTGTTACTATAGTGTTTAACACTATGTGCTGTAGATAGCACGCAGGCCTTCATGCATCCTAGAATTGAGCTACATTCTCAACCACAGATACAATTCTTTGGGAACAAAAACTCATCACCCCTTCATTGTACCTTTGCCCCATTTCAGTATAACTTGTCACTCTGAGAAAGCCACAGGAAAATACTGTTAAGAACAATTGCTTTAGACTGGGATTAAGCACTCCTGAGGCAGAGGCAGGAGGATCTCTGTGAGTTCCAGGCCAACCTGGTCTACATAGGGAATTCCAAACTAGCTAGAATTTTACAGTAAGACCCTGTCTCAAAAAAAAACAAAAACAAAAACAAAAACAAAACAACAACAACAAAAAAACTGTTTTAGCTACAAACTACTGTTTTTAATTCTTAGAAGGTAAATGGTAATCCAGGCACAGCGGCTCACACCTGTAGTCCCAACCACTTGGGAAGTTGAGACAGTAGGGTTACCATGAATTCAAGGCCAGCCTGATCTACAGAATGAGACCCTATCTTAAAGATCAAAAAGCAGGGCTGGTAAGATGCTCAGTGAGTAAAGGCACTTGCCACCAAGTCTAATGACCTGAGTTCAGTCCCTGGGACCCAGAAGATGGCAGGAAAGAACCGATTACTGCAAATTGTTCTCTGACCGCCGCACCAGACATGTGCTAACTACCCACACAAGCACACATGTACACATAAATAAAACAATTTAAAGGTTTTTGCTTGTCTGTTGTTTGAGACAAAGTCTCTTTTACATAGCCCTGGCTGTCTCGAAACTCCCTATGTTGACCAGGCTGGCTTCCAACTCACAGAGATCCACCAGTCTCTATGCGAGGAGCAGAGTTGTGTGTGTGTGTGTGTGTGTGTTTTTTTTTTAATGCCTTTTAGGTGGCTCTTAACCATCTATAATAAGGAGGTCTGGTGCCCTCTGCTGGCCTGCAGGCAGAACGTTGTATATGTAATAAATAAAGAAAACGTTAAAAAAGAAGAAGAAATGTCTCTCAGAGATGTAAAAATAGCTTAGTCAGGAAGCCCACTACACCCAAGGCTGCACCCGATCACCAGAACCCAGTGACGTTAGTCACTCAAGATAACCAGACACAGGACGCGAACTCCACCCACGACGCCCGCTTGATGATACAGACACAGAACAAGAGCTCTACCGCGCCTGCACTTCTTCAGGACTGCAGACGCTGGAGACATGTGCCCTGCGTCTAGACCATCTCCCCAGGCATCCTGACCCTTAAATCTGAACCGGACCTTCAGCTGAGATACCCCGCGCTGGGGACCCTGGCTTAGGACCATAGCTAGGAACTGAAAGTGTGAACCTTGTATGTGACCCCCAGCATAATAAAATGTAACTTTCGTCACACCAACTACCTTAGCCTTCTTGCTTGAGTGAGACACTCCGCCTTCTGGGTGCTGGGTGAAAGGCGTGTGCCACTAATCAAAAAGTATTAATAGCCTAGTGAATAATACGGGGGCTGCCGGCTCCTAGAGGGTCAACTGTCCAAAGAGACAGTTATCTCCCAGAGAAATAACAATGATCACTCAGGAATCGTGAATGTTACAGCCACCACAGGCAGAGTCCAGGTCAGAAATAGGAGAAGCTGGATCTGATACAGGCGAGCAGCGGGAGATTTTTTATATATATATATATATATATATATATATATACAAAGGAAGGCGTGAGGCTGTAAGTAAGTCCGGTCCAGCTGGGGCTTGGTTCAGCTAATCGTGCTGTTTTTCTGCCCCCCCCCCTGCTGGCTACAAGGATGACCGCGCTGGCCACAGCTACTAGAGAGGCCGAGGCTCGAACCGGGAGCGCTGCCTCAGCGCCGCAGTTTGAGGCCAGCTTGGGAAACGTGAGGAGAGCTAACCCCAAAGACAAAACCATCCTCCCCAAATTCCACAAACAAACCAAAAGCTACAACAAGAGAGAAATTTCAAAGCCAAACACCTCCCCTCCCACCCCACACAAACTGCAACCAACCCCATCGCGCCATCCCCGGGCCTTGCAGTAAACAGTCCCCGGGAAAGGCGAGCCAGCCGGTGGGAATTTGAAGTTTTAGGCGTCCTCTGCCTAGGAAAGACGAGATTTGCTCGCGGATCGCTGCCTGAGGACTGTCTTCTGGAAACGGTGGATCGAGGTGTCTTCGGGAGTTTTGTCTCTGCAAGGTCGTAACTGCGTGAGCCCCAGCACGCACACGCGCCCGGTTGCTGCACACCCACCGGGCCCATCCCTGCAGCGAGGAACGCCTGACCTGGATTGGAGGCGGAAACTGAGGCATCTGCCTGCACGCGGATTGTTTGGACGGTGTTGTTCCAGACCAACAACCTGTTCCCGCGATTTGAAATTTCATGGTTTAAAGGATGAATAGTGAAGTGATTGCTCATCCGGAGTGATGCCAGTCTGCCGCTGCTGAAGCGTTACGTCATCTTCTTTGGCTTAGTTCACCTATCACTAAAATGTTCCGTAAAATCCACTCTGTTTAAGAAACAACCCGAGTGGGAACCCGAGCAGATCTCAGATCTGGCTGAGACGGTGGGCGCGGCTGGATTTCTATCGCGGATGTCTCTCAAGGAAAGGGTGCTCAAGATTAATCCTGTGGTGCCAAAAAGATGCTTGTTTTCGGGGTCTAGCTGGCCAGAGCCTAAAGGCAGGTAGTCTGGGCGGGAGCGTTGTCTGCTCTATCCAGGCTGTCTTGACCCAGGCTAAAAAGCTATTGCGTAGGCCCCGGCTAACACATGTCTAAAGGGCTAGGGATGCAGTTCCATCGGTAGGAAGACCTGGGTTCCATTCCCAAGACCAGGTGTGGTGGCACAGGGCTATAAAGCCAGCACTCCAGAGGTGGCGGGTGGGAGGAGCAGAAGTTCTAGGTCATCATGGCCTCAGAGCCAGTTGGAGGGTAGCCCGGGATACATGAAATTCTGTCTTTGAAAGGAGTCACTAATGTCTTACTGCCTTGTAACCTCCTCTCTAGGACTGTACCCTAAGGGAGTGATTCTCTAGAGAGGGAGGTGTAAGGATGGTGCTTGGGACATTATTTTACAATGCCTAAGTATTCGTTTAAAAAAAAAAATGTCCCCCAGGTATAGAGGGTCACAGCAGTTAACCCAGCACTCGAGGCTGAGACGGGAGGACCGACAGGATTTGACGCCGCCCTGTGCTACATAGTGAGCTTCAGATCCGGAGACAATGAACACAATGGGTTTTGGCACATCCGAATTGGAAGATGACCTATACAAATACCAAACAAGAGAGCAGTTTAAACCATCACCAAGAGAGCACTGTGACGGTACTCACGGAGTGGAGACCACTCTCTTACAGTGGCCTTACAGATAAAAGAATTTTTAAAAACACAAGTAGGAAATTCAAGGACAATTTTATTAGCTTGGGAGAAAGGCTACACCCCAGGAAACCTAGAGGTCTCAGCAGCTGCAGGGGGAGAGATGTGGTCATGCTTGCTGAATTAAATTTTGTTCATTTCTTTTTGAAAAAAAATAAAATAAAAAGATGTGTCTGTCTGTGCATTACATGTATGTCAGGTGCCCATGGAGGTCAGGAAAGGGTGTTATGGCCTCCTGGAAATAAAGTCACACATGACAGCGCCCTGGTGGGTGCTGGGAATTGAACCCAGGTCCTCTGGAAGGGCAACTCGAGAGCTTTTAACCATTGAGCTGTCTCTCCCTAACCTAGAAAGAGGCAGTCTGTGAGCAGCTGCACGGTGGCGACATATTTAGAGAGGATGAGCTTGTTTCGGGGGGGCCTCAGGGTTCCTGTTGTGCGTTCTTTATCCCATTAATACACTAATTTCAAAAGGATTAATAAACTGGCTGTGGTGGTGAATGCCTTTAATCCTGACCCTTGGAGGCAGAGGCAGGGGGAGCTCTGTGAGTTTGAGGTCAGCCTGACCTACATAGGAAGTTACAGGGCAGCCAGGATTACATGGAGACTCTGTCCCAAAAGAACGTAAACAAACAACAAATAAAGATTGATTCATCACACTTAAAGACCTTTACAAAAAAGATTCATTTTTATTTAGTGTGTGAATGTGCGGAGTCATCCGGGAAGAGGGAACCTCAGCTGAGAAAACGCCCCCCCCCCCAGGTTGGCTTATAGGTAAGTCTGCAGGCATTTTCTTGATTGATGATTGGTGTGGGAGGGCCCAGCCCACTGTGGGCAATGCCATCCTTGAACAGGTGTTCCGTAGGTAGATTCCAAAGCAGGCTGACCAAGCCAGGGAGAGCAAGCCGGTAAGCCCTGTTCCTCCATGGCCTCTGCTTCAGTTCCTGCCTCCAGGTTCCTGCTTGAGAGCCTGCCCTGGCTTTCCTCAGTAATGGAGGAAGTGTAAACCAAATAAGCCCCTTCCTCCCCAAGTTGTGTTTGCTCTTGGACATTATAATAGCAACAGAGTCCAAACTAGGATAAGACCCTAGTGGGAGGTGTAGTTCTGAGGGCTGACGCTGAGCCCCAGCGGAATTGGTAGCCTGAACTTGACCCAAAGTTCTGACAACAGAGGACAGCTACAGAGAAGGACAGCTCATTGTCTTTCTTGTTAGGGATTAAAAGTCCAGCAGATTTACTCACACAGTTAACCTTCCCTTCAGGAGGAAGCGAGCGTCAGAACTAGTTATCTGACTCAGAGGCCAAGGTCCTCCTTTCGCATCTTAAAGTGCCCCTCCTTTTCCCAACAGACAAGTGGAGCAAAGAGCAAATGAAAGGAATTAATAGGCGAAGCCCACCACAGTCTTGCCGGGTCACAGGGAGGACTCCCAAGTTAGTTACAGAAACACCTTCGTTCTCTCTGACCTCTGTACTGTCTTCTCTCCCAGCCATTTTTTAAAAATAGTTTATTTAATTTTATTTTATGTGCATTAGTGTGAAGGTGTCAGATCCCTTGGAATTGGTGTTACAGACAGCTGTGAGCAGCCCTGCGGGTGCTGGGAATTGAACCCTGGGTCCTTTGAAAGAGCAGACAGTGCTCTTACTCATCACTGAGCCATCTCTCCAGCCCCTTCTCTCCCATTCTTACTTGAACTTGAAGGAAGGAGAAAGCTTCCTAAGTTTAGATGCCACCAGAGAGTTTTGAAGTTTGATATCGCCGGCGTTCTGTTCGGCAGAATTGATGTCATTGTGGGTTTTCTCATCACAGAGGATAAAAATCCAGATGGAACTTCCTTCTTCCTTTACATACGACAGATACCAAGCAAGTGCTTACACTCAGGAGTGAGTCATCCTCTGTCCACGCAGGTGGCTGTGGGCACACCTGAGGAAACAAAGTCCAGCACGTAGCCGGCAGAAGCCGTCCCCGCAGCGGAAGCTCCAGAGCAGGGCGAGATGAGCTCCGAGACAGGTAAAGCGATGCTGGGTCCTGGCAAGGCATTTAGTTGATTTTTCCTCTTTACTTTGCTTCTTTCCATAAAGCTTTGTCATGTTGCCCCAGGCTGGTCCCCAATTTCCGGCCTCAAGTGATCCCCCTGTTTCACTCAGCCTCTTGAGAATCTGGGTAGACAAGTGCCTGCTCCCATGCTTAGCTTGGGTCCATGGTCTTGAAGTGTGCATCAATGCATGTTGGTACGACCTGCTTATGCTTGGGTCCCTGGTGCTTTCCATCTTTCCTATTATAATTCATACCTTAATACCATTCTTAAGATGAGTTACTAGTCTGATGAAGAATTTCTGCCTTCTAATGCTTTTGATGACTAGCACTAAATTAATGTTGGTTTCATGGCAATTAAAAAAAAAATTAAGTTAGCTGGGTCTGGTGACCTGGGCCTGTAATTCTAGTTATTCAGAGAGGCCAAGGCAGGAGAATTACAAGTTGAAGGTCTTTGTGGACTGTAGGGCAAGTTTAGAGCCAAGTTAGGTAGCTCAGCAAGACCCTGCCTTTAGAAAGGGTGGGAGAGCTGGAGGGTGGCTCAGCAGTTAGGAGTGGTTGCTGCGCTTCTTAGATTCCCAGCAGACACAGGAAGCTGCTCACCACTGCCTGTAACTTCAGCTCCAAGGGCTTCAATGCCCTCCTCTGTCCTCCTCGGGCACCTTCACAAACACACACACACACACACACACACACACACACACACACACACACATAACTGGAAAAAGCTTTAAGTAAAAAGAATGAGGCTAGAGCTTAGTGGTAGAGAGCTTTGCCTAGCATATGTGAGGCCCTGGGTTCAACCCCTCAGTCCTGCCCCACTTCCCACTGAAAGAAGTAAAACTATAATTTGAAAGGACTAATTAAGATAAAATGGAAATGGTAGCAATGGACTATTCGATAGTTGCCTGACTAGTCAATGATTAATTGATGTTAATCAGGTGTGGTTATTTCCACCTGTCATTTAAATAATCTAGAGATTGGAACAGGAGGATTGATTTCCAGGAATTTGAAGCTATTCTGGGCAATATAATAAGTTACACACCACCTTAGGCGATAATATGAGACCCTCCTCCTGCCTCCCCCCTAAATAAACAAACAGCCTGGGGATGTTGGACTAGCATCCAAGATTCCCGGGTTCCATTCCCAGGGCCATATACAACAGGCATAGTGGCACATGCCTGTGATCTGAGCATTTGAGAGGTGGTATATATAAAAAAATATACGGGAGGGAGAGCATGCCTAGCTTTGGAAGGAAATGATTTCAGGTGAGGTGGGATTGGAAGCAACTCCTACAGTTTTTTTTTTTAATTTATTATTATTATTTTTAGTAGAGTTTAAGTCTTTGGAGAATTTTTAAATTTTTATTTATCTATTATTTATAGTTGAGACAAGGTCTCAGGTAGCCCAGGTTGACCTTGAGCACACTGTGTAGCTGAGGATGACCTTGAGAATATCTGAAGAGATATGACTGAAATAGTGCTTTGGACACATTTGCCTACTCTTTAGTTGGTTTGGAGCTGGACACAGAAAAGAGTGAAAACAAGGCCACTCCGCCTATTTATTATCATAGAGTCTCAAAAAAACCAAACAAATACAAGCCCAGGGAATGGTGGTGGAGCCGTCTGGAAAGGATTGCCCCCTTCCTTCTGTAGGCTTGAGCCAAGGAGACAGTGGTTCTGATAATTACAAATCAGATGCCCAGAGCTGCAAGAAAAAGATCAAAACTTTGAGGCACGAAGGCACTGTACTCCTACAATTTTACACACGGCAGGCGTGAGTTCGATGTTTGGGGAAGTTCTTCCAGAAGAAGTACAGTTGTCTGTGGAAGATGCAACCACAACGATCCTGTGTAAACCCGATTTATCCTTAAAACCGCCAACTCTGGAAGAACTGGAGAGTATTCAGGAAGCCGCACAGGGTACGGTTTAGCAACGAGAAATGACAGAAAAGGAAGGATGGCAAATAGCCTACTGTAGGGGACACCCCATCTGTGTTAACTGTTTAATAACCCGCTGACCACTAACACTGTAGGGAGCCTTCACTGTTTAAATAACTCACTGAGCAGCAACACTCTAGGGGGTACCCTATCCTGCCTTTACTGTTAATAACTAGAGACTATTCCGCATTTGTAGGCTGGAAGTATTCAATCAAACCAGGCATGCAAAACACCTGACAGATATTGACAAAACTTGGGAGCTTAGACGTTGGTTTTGTCTTAAAAGCAAAACTTCAAACCCAAGTTTTAGAAAATCTGAAAAAGTTTTAAAGTCAGAAAAATTATTACCCGCCATTCCTATTGTTAGAGCTGTAAGAAAGGAGATGCAGTCTTTGTGGATGGATGGTCTCTCCGGGTTTATTAGAAACCTAAGTCTGAAGCCCACCCAGCATGGTGACACGCGCCTTTAATCCCAGGACCGGGGAGACAGATGGATCTCTGTGAGTTTGAGGACAGCCAGGGCTACACAGAGAAATCCCTGTCTCGAAAAACAAGCGAAGGAGGAGGAGGAGGAGGAGGAGGAGGAGGAGGAGGAGGAGGAGGAGGAGGAGGAGGAGGAGGAGGAGAAGGAGAAGGAGGAGAAGAAGAAGAAGAAGAAGAAGAAGAAGAAGAAGAAGAAGAAGAAGAAGAAGAAAAAGAAGAAGAAGAAGAAGAAGAAGAAGAAGAAGAAGAAGAAGAAGAAGAAGAAGAAGAAGAAGAAGAAGAAGAAGAAGAAGAAGACTTTCCCATTAGATTGATTAGGTCAGATCTCAAAGCATAGCCTAGGCAGAACTTGAACTCGGATATCCACACACCACGGCATTTACTGAGCTGGGATGAAAGGCCTGCCCTCCTGTCCTGGCTTCTACATCATTTCCCCACATGATTTGTAGAGGTGGGAGACTATAGAACATGTTTTCACAGCAGCTCAATATGAACTTGACAAAATCGTCTCTTGGTTTACAGGTCCTGCGGCTGATCCCACTCTGAGGTAAGATGAGCACAGTGCCTCCCAATAGAGTCACATAGAAATGGACATGTAAGAACCCCAGGACGGGGGCTGGAGACATGGCTTAGTGGTGAAGAGCACTGGCTGTTCTTTCAGTAGGTCCCGAGTTCAAATCTTAGCAACATCTATGATGGAGTCTGATGCCCTCTTCTGGCATGCAGGCAAACATGTAGACAGAGCATTCATACATAAAATACATAACTAAAATTTTTTAAAAATGTTAAAACAATTTGATTTGGTTTTCATTAAATGGTAAAATTATGTGTGTGTGTGTACACTAAAATTGTGTGGCTTGCGCTTGTTTGATTGTTTGTTTGAGACAGGGTTTCTCTGTGTGGCCTTGGCTGTCCTGGAACTCACTCTGTAGAGCAGGCTGGCCTGGAACTTATAGAGATCCTCTGCCTCCCAAGTGCTGAGATTAAAGGCGCATGCCACCACCATTCAGCTCATTCCACAGCATTTGAGAAACGGCGCTTTCTATATTAAGGTTGTTCTGGGTTCTGGCTTTCACAGGCCAAGCTCCAATCACACGGGTTTTCAGCAGGGCCTCTCAGCAAGCCCTGAGGAGTCAGGCCCACATCTCTCTCTTTCCTTGCTCAGTGACCTTAGGGAATAAGACACACTGAGACATGCCGTTGTGCCTCCGTCCTGTGGAAAAATGTTTCCTGGTGACACACAGTTGCGCAGAGGTTAGCACAAACATCCATTAACCGTTTATCTTTTCCATTTCTTTAGTTAATCTGCCGTTGTGAGTTTTAGGAATTTTTTCTTCTTTCTCTTTAAGGAAAAAAAAAAAAAAAAAAAAAGAGCCGAGGAACAGTCTAACCAGCTTCATTATTACCACTAAATTTATTTTGTTTTGCGTGTGAGAAAACAGGCCCACTATGGTCCACTTAATGCGACAAACAGATAGGAAATTCCTCGTGCGAAAGGGCTTGTGGGTGGTGAAAGGTTAAAAAGCAGCACTCAGAGCATCTTCCTTGCTTTAGGTTTCCCCTTGGCCCTGCCACACTACTGTCAGTGCAGTATGAATGAACGCCCAAAATGCTGATGCTTTACCAACCACTGCGTGCCTGGACCCTAGAATCTCTCCAGACTCTGCCTACTATCTGCCATGTTCTTCTTCAAAGATCTGTGCAAAGTCCTGGCAGAGCAATCTATTATCTATCTATCTATCTATCTATCTATCTATCTATCTATCTATCTAT